GGGGGTTCTAGGCAGAGACTGAACTCACTTAACATTGTATTTAAGATTAGCTTACATACTTATTTGTTATTTAAAAAAGAAGTATATTTTTGTCAACACTTAAGTGTTAAAGTGCAAACAATGTTCCACGTCGGCTAATATGGGAAAGATTAATCCTTTATAAGGAGGGAATAACACCTCCATTGGTATAAGGCCTTTTGGGAAAATCCAAGAGTAAAACTGGTTGGACCCGACTCAATCTGGACAATATCATACCAATGCGGAGTTTCTGCTATCCCGCCGGGGCCCAACATTAAGCGCGCGTTACGTATTTTAATTTACACACATCCGTATGTATATTATACATATATGTTAGTCAATTATATATAGAGGTACTAGTTGGTACTTGCAATAAGAATAAGCCAAGAACCATGCTGCATGCAGATAGTAAATTTCGGAATTTCGGACAAACATATATATATATATATATATATATATATATATATATATATAGAGCACAAGTTGTCAAGTACATGCTTCCATGTTCAAAGACTGCAGCTGATTATTAATCTTGAAACAAACACATATAAGTTAGGATATTATTACAAATACAGTTGTATTATACTATGGTGCAAAATCCCTTCAAATTTTAAAATTTTCTTTCATATATTGGTTTTAGTTAAAACTTCAAATCTCACAAGAAATTTATGTTGGGTGCATCCAATTCAAATATGAAGGTGCAAATCGCCAATTAGTATTAATTACGGGGTGCAAAACACAATTTACCCAATCTAAATAACTTCAAACTAAACACAATCAATTATCCAATTAATAATTATATATATTGCCGGAAAATTGTTCGTCAAAGTCAGGATGGCCGAGTGGTCTAAGGCGCCAGACTCAAGTTCTGGTCTTCGAGAGAGGGCGTGGGTTCAAATCCCACTTCTGACAAAATTGATTTTTTTTAAATTTTTTTTTTATTCTTTTTAATTTGCTTCTTATTCTATCTTACTAAAAGTCTTTTGTCCTAATTAAACATTTTCCTGTTAACATTTCACACTAAAAATCAATGTTTACTTGGACCTAATTTTCCTAGCCCCCTTTCAATTTTTTCACATGGACATCAAGCACCATGCCATGCACGTGACACCAACATTTGGACAAACCATGAAAATAAGAACAAAAAATGGTCCCAAAATGAGTGTATATATATACATACATGCATATCTCATCAAAATACCAGTTGCTCTGTTTTACTTGCTTACTATCGGCATCATTCGAATTTGGAATTAATCGCAATATATACGTAAATGCATTGAACGTAAACTTGGACACAAACATGTGAACTTAAACCAAACAGCGTAGGTAAACACGAGTTGTTGTCCTTCTTGCAACTACAAAATACAAAAGCTCAAAATCAGCATTTTCCGACATTTTTTGTTCTATATATATCGATGTCTCTGGTCCCCTAATCCTCGCTAAGAAACGTCTTTGTGAAGCTGTTGTTGGACTACTTTCTTCTTTACGATCAGTGCGAATATAACGACTATCGTCTAACATTAGCTTAACTGTTCGGTATTTTACTATTTACTTCTTTTTAGTTTTGTAATTTTTTATTTTTTTTAATTGGGTAATTAGTGCAAATTCAGTATTTCACAGGGATGCCGTTTGCAATAACTCTTATTTGATATTAATTTTAGAAAATATAATAACATATCATTAACCTAAAATAAAACAACACTCAAAACCCTAGTTCATCAACAACTCAAAGAACAATAAAAACACACTTTCGAGATTTCGTACGAAGAAAAAAAAAATGACAATATACGAGAGCACGCCCCTTGAGTGCCTAGCCTCTTGAGATGGAGTTTGATGAAATCCTCGGGTGGAAATTACGGTGTTTTTTTTGTAGGTCAAAGAACAAAATCACACACTTTGATTTTATCCGGAGCAACAAAAACGACTATGATCGCAACGTGCCCCTTGTCTAGGCGAAACGAGACTCTCAACGTACACTTGTTTCGTATAAAAAGGAGACCTGATTCTTGCAGGTTGATCGAGTTCCACTTGTGGAACCCGAGTACGTAAACTACTCTCATAGGAAGAAGAAGAATATAATCGATCTAAAGGAGAAATCCCGACCTTCGTCCAAGATTCTTCCACCCCATACTCTCTCATCACCCAAAGCTCACTTTCGTAACTAACACCGTCGGTACTGCTAAGACGCTTAAGCAGACAAGAAAGGCATCCATTTGTTTCTCCGAGTTTAAATTCTGTAAGAGACGACGACCCCCGCATATGTTCTGGTATCGGCACCTCTCCCACACTCTCGTGCACTAAATCATACGAAAAAATCGAAACATGCGGTGGGAGTGGGACCCGCCTGCTCACTGCAGCCCAATGCACATTACTGTTGGAAAGGGTTCCTATCGTGTCGTAAAGATAGTGGTAATTATTCCTCAACTCATGCGAAGATTTATAACTGCAATGGCCATCGTCGTTGTACGGCCTGATGAGGTGTATTCGAGCGTCCCCCCAATTATGAGTCCCTAGAAGGATCTTGTACTCGTCGTTGTGTCGTCCGAACCAGAAGCATCTGATATAACCGCGGGGTTTCGTTATCGGGATGCATGCATGCGAGCGAAGAGGTGGATTCCATATGTGAATGATTCCGTGCTCGTCGTTGAGCAAACACACTAAGCCGTCGCACGAACTGCCCGCGAACACCATGTTGGTGAAATTAGTGGTTGACTCCAGGTCATAGTTAGCGGCATCGGGTGGAGGGAATAAACGAGGGCACGCAACGAAGGAGGATTTATTGAGAAGGATGGGTCTGTAAATTGAATTTTCGAGATGGAGTTTGATGAATTCTCGTCTGGAAATAAGGTGGTGCCACTCTTTGCAAACGCATTTGAATCTTAAAAGATCTTTCACACGGAGTCTCGACAGGGTTTCTGATAGGATATCGGAGTTCAACTGCGCCGCCACCTCCTTTCGTGCTTTCTTCTTCTTGTTCTTCTCGAATTTTATTTTAACAGTATACATAAATCACTTTAGAAAAAATAGAATTAGTGATACCATAACTGTGACACTGTTAAAAGTTGTCACTAAATACATATATTAAGTAGGGGTGGCAATTTGGATCCGGTTCGGTCCATAAGGATCCAGTTTAGATTAAGTCTAGTTGAAACAAACCGGATCGGATCAAGTTGATTTTTTTTTTAAACTGGATCTATGTGGATCCACTTTAGATCCATTGAAAGTTTAACCACAAAATAAAGTGGGTCATATTGGATCCAACCAAACCCAATTAAATACCAAAACAATTTTCTCACAAAAAAAAAGTCAAATATTATTTTAATTAAAAGTTTAATTGATAAAAAATTATCAATGAGTATATTAATAAAAACTGTGTGTGTATGTGAGTGTGTGTGTATAAAACAGTGTGTGTATGCGAGTGTGTGTGTGTAAAACAGAGAGTGTGTGTGTGTATGTGAGTGTGTGTGTGTATATATAAACATATGTGTATATATATAGAAACAGATAGTGTGTATGTGCATGTAAGTGTGTGTGCGTGTGTGTAAAAAGTGTGTATGTGTATGTGTATGTGTATGTGTGTGTGTGTGTGAAGAGTGTGTGTGTGTATGCGAGTGTGTAAAACAAAGAGTGTATATATATATATATATACAGTGGCGAATCCAGGATTTTTGCCAAGGGTGTTCGGAATTAAATATAGTAAAAAAGGTAAAAGTTTACGGGGGTTCGGGGGCAGCGCCCCCATTTTTTTTTTAATACTATGCACATTAAATAATAAAAATATGTAATATTTTCAAATTTAAAGGGATTATTTTACAAATTTTGGGCTAATTTAGGAAATATTTAGACATAAATTGGTGAAAATATTTAAGGAGTGGTAAGCATATTAAAGTTGCAAGTGACAAAATGTGTATTTCATTAGCAGATTTTGAATTTAAAAAAAAAATATAGTTGTAAATTTAGAAAATCATTGAAATAATGCATATATATATATATATATATATATATATATATATATATATATATATATATATATATATATATATAATTAAGAATTTTGGAATAATTTAGATTATATAAAATATTAAAGGAATGGTAAATAAATTAAAGTTGCAAATAGCAAAATATATGTTTTATTAGGAGATTTTGATTTTTTTGAAATATTCAAAAATACCCACATATTCAAAAATTTTGGAAAACAATTGAAATATTATATATTTGGAGATTTTGATTTTTTGAAATATTCAAAAATACCCACATATTCAAAAATTTTGAAAACAATTGAAATATTATATGTATTAGAAATAAAAAAAACAAGCATATATATATAAAATTAAGAATTTTGGAATAATTTAGATTATATAAAATATTATAAGCATTTTGGAATAATGTAGATTATATAAAATATTCAAGGAATGGAAATTAAAGTTGAGAATAGCAAAATATATGTTTTATTAGGAGATTTTGATTTTTTGAAATATTATATGTATTAGAATTTAGAAATACAAAAAAACTTTGAAATATTACAAATAAAAGGGTTCAATCTGAGTCTCGAACTCTGCACCTCTCTGTATTTGAAGGGAGATCCCTACCAGTTCAGCTACAAGATCTCTTCAGCAATTTTTACATTTACAGTTATATAATATATAAATATATAGGGAATATTTTTTTTTCAAAATCAAGGGTGTGCAGTTGCACACCCTAGGACCACAGTGGATACGCCACTGTATATATATATATATATATATATATATATATATATATATATATATATATATATATAGAGAGAGAGAGAGAGAGAGAGAGAGAGAGAGAGAGAGAGAGAGAGAGAGAGAGAGAGAGAGAGAGAGAGAGAGAGAGAAACAAATAGTGTGTGTGTGCATGCAAGTGTGTGCGTGTGTGTAAAAAAGTGTGTGTGTGTGCGTGTGTGTAAAAAGTGTGTATGTGTATGTGTGTGTGTGAGAATATGTGTAATTGTGAAACTTGAGATATTAAACCACATAAGTTGAGATATTAAACCCCTCATAAGTTGAATATCTCCCTAAAAGTTGAGATATTCCACTTCATAAGTTGAATTAAAGATGCAACGAATCCAGGTGGATCCAATCCGGATCGGTCTAAACTCAATCCACATTAAATCCATTCATGTAGGTTGGATCCGGTTCCTTTTGAATCCGATCCACATGAATCCGAATCGGATCCGGTCCAAGTTAAGAAATTGCCACCCCTAATATTAAGTAACAATATTTATGTATCGTCACTAATAATTCAATTTGTTGTTACTAATCCTTTTAGGTGAATATCGATCGACATCATACACAATTACCAACTTTTTGATACATAAGTATATATATTACAGGAAAAAAAAAGATGTCGAAATCCAACGGATCAAAATCAAATTATTACACAACAAACATCATCTTTTAACTTATTAGACCGCCTTGGCCGATCATGATCAAGCCATACTATAAAATTACAAAAAAAAAAAAAAAATCTAATACAGAATTTATAAGTTTTTGTTCATATAGCACAAAAATAAATAAATAATAATAATCTAGTTTATTCAATTAGAAGTTAGAAGAACATAAGAAGAAATACGAACCAAAGTAAAAGATTCAGTAAATACTGCTTTCAGTAAGGACGACGAAGATAATTAATCAGAGAGAGGGAGAGATATTTTGTAAATAAACAGAGATAATTAATTAAACTAACCCTAGAGAGACGTAGTGTCTAGTACGTGTTTACATAGTACGATACTTTGGTAAAAGACTTAATTAGGTCTCAAATTACGAATTACGGTAATAATTTTTTAATTAGAGGAAAAAAAAAATATAAAGGAGAGGAAAAGAAAAACAAGTCATTATGGGAGGGACTTTCTCCACGTACCCTCGGTGTGGTGTATTAGGGTCTGCATGGGATGCAAGTGGCTTATTTACGTCACGAGACTCGGGTTATAATTATCAGATCACGACGAAGGATTAGTGATCTAGGGTTCGAATCCTACCCGCTTCTACTTTTCAGTTTGAAAAGAATTTGGATATTGCTCTAATAAAAATTATAATTAAAAAAAAAATCAATAAATTCAATGTAACACTTATAATGGTCAAATTAGGAAAAATACTACACTCGGTGAAGAATACTGGGTAAATGTGCTCTATAAATATATGGCCCCGACTATATGCAATACTAATTTCAATAGTGCAAGAACAAATTAAATCTTTTCAATGTATAAATACTATAATACCCTTGCTTGTTAAAAAAATAGAAAAATTCAAATATGCAAAACCAAAAAGTCAAAACCACAAAAAATCCTATCACAAAATTACAAGACCAACTCTCATTTTCCAAAACCCACAAAACCTAAACATTCAAAATCATCAAAACTCAACAAATCTTATAAAGATGGCAAATATGGAGGCAAAAGACATCAAAATAGAAGATTTTACGGTGGAAGAACCCAAGAATGTATGCATTTATGTGTTTTTTAGCTAGAATATTGTTTTCCAAAAAAATACCGCACATACGCGGTCAACATGTACATTTTGATAGGTAAAAATCGATACTGAGATGTCAATTTTGTAGTAGCAAATTCGACATTTCACAATGTCGACTTTTCTGCTGTAAACTCGACATCTCGGTGTCGGTTTTTACCTAACAAATTTGACATATTGTTAAACAAAATTCGGTTTTTACCACTTTCAAATTTATTTTTTTTTCTTTTTTTTTTAGGTTGAACTAAATGAGGAATTAGTGTTTTTAAAGCGTTGTTGGGCGGGTTTAGGTCGCTCATAATTGTGAGCGACGAGGCTGACGGCGGTGGTCGGTCATGAGGAGCTTGAAGCGCGGAGCTTGGGCGGCGTTGTTGTGGCTGTGGTGGCGGGAAGGGGTTCACAGGGGGTGGGTTTTCTTTTTTTGTTTTCTTTTAATTTTTTTTTGTATTACTTGTTATTTGGTCTTGCATGAGCAAACAAAAGCCAATTTTCATTTGTGGGTATATTTGTCATTTCATTTTAATAAAAAAGAATATTTTGGAATATTTCTTTAATTTGGTCCTGCACAAGTGAAATCCGTATTTCATATATCCGCAGCCTAAATATATATACATACATACTCATTAAGTACACTTAAACATGAGTATATTTTATTATATGTAGATCAATAGTTTATAATCACTCGATATATTTCACTTGGTGTAACGTCTACAAAACCTTATTTACATATGCGGGTTGGACAAATTCGCGAAAGTTAGTGTTACGTACAAATGCGTGTCGTTTAATTTGATTTTATATTCCTAAAAAAATATTTTATACTTTCAATTTTATTAAAAAAAAAAAATAGATAATATAAACCAACGGTAAATTAGGCTAAATTTCCTCCTTTGAGCAATTCTCTCTAAAAGTTGCTTATATATATTCTCTCTCTCTAGAAATCATCTAAAGATCACTAGGGTTAGTAATTACTCTCTCTTTCCAGAGGCAATCTTTCGCCGTTGTGGTCGCCGAAGAGGTTTTCTAATTTATTTTTCATTTTTTTAATAATTTTTTTATTTTTATGTAATTATATATGTACGATGATGGGGAATTAGATGCTACATGTGGTTATTTAAACTGGTGAATTTGACTGTAGATTCAATTAAGTAACTACCCCAACCACACATATACATAGGTGTGTGTGATTATGTGTAGATATACGGTTCGAATCTACCCAGTGTAAATAACCAGGTGTAGCATCTAATTTCCCGGTATGATGATGATAACTTTTGATGGTGTCACAATTGGGATGTCACTAATATAATTAATGTCATCATCTTTTATTGTAGTGATGGAGCAATTAAATTTAGATCTCTTGTCCGAAATCCTTTCGAGACTCCGTGTGAAACACTTGATCAAGCTCAAGTCCGTCTGCAAATCGTGGCAACACCTTATTTCCGACGAAGACTTCATCAAGCTCCATCTCAAAAAGTCTCGATCCCGGTTCGCCCCTCTAAAAAATGAATACTTCATTCCGTGTCCCCGTTTATTACCCCCTCCTGACGAACACGGTTTGTTCGCCTGTTGTCCGAGCGAGTCCACAATGGTACTATTGGGCAGTTCGATTGACGGCTTAGTGTGTCTATTCAATCGCAAATTTGGAATCATTCATATATGGAATCCATCTATCCGTTCGTCTGCATGCATCCCTATAAAGAAACCCGATGACAAAATCAAGTGGTTTTGGTTCGGTTTGCACGACAATGTGTACAAGATCCTTCTAGCAACTTCTCACCAAATCCACCTCATCAGGCCGTACACTGACTATTACACCTATAAATCGACACGCGAGTTTGTGCAACACTACACTCCCGTTAATGGTGGGATGGGTACCCTTTTCAACGGCAATGTGCATTGGCCCGTTCACGAAAATCGCGAATGGGCCCCGTACCGTTATTTTACTATTTTGTCCTATGGTTTAATTCGCGAGACTTTGGGAGAGATTCCCGTACCTCCGATTATCCAAGAGCACATTATAGCCGTCGATCTTGGAGAAATAGACGGGTGCCTTTCTTGCCTAGTTTTGCGACTTACAAACACGAGAGGGGCTCCAAGGGAAAACGAATACGAGATTTGGTCAATGAAAGAGTATGGGGTCGCAAAATCTTGGGTTAAGCTCATGAATGTAAGTGAACGCACATATTCGTATCACCGATATTGCGTGCGAAAAGAGGAAGTAGAGGAAGATCACGCGAGAATAAAGTCTCCTTTGTATGGTAAACAAGTGTATGTTGAGAGTCTCGTCTCGCCGAGACAAGGCGAATGTTGTCGTAGTCGTTTTTGTTGTTGTAGGTAAAATGTTGTCGTAGTCGTTTTTGTTGTTGTAGGTAAACTCAAGTGTGTGTTTGTGTTCTTGGAGTTGCTGTTGACTAATTATTTATTTTTATTTTTATTTTTATTTTTATTTTCATATCGATTTATTAATGACCACTTCATTGAATTCAGTAAACAGGGGAAAAAAGAAAAACAAAAAATAAAGACAAATGCTATCTTAAAAGACAAAATAAACGAAAAATGAGTGATTGTCCTAAGAAACGAATGTCTAAAATCAACATGGATTTATGTGTGCCTAAACGAAAGTAAATACTCAACGAGAAAACTCGGACAAATACTCAACCAACACAAGTCTATATTTATTTCGTGCATAAACGGTTGTAATCGATCGGCTGCAAAACAATTTCTAGACTGGTTCTGCGTAAATTGTAGCGGGACCAAGGTTCTAAAAGGCGGTTATCGGGTACGTGGCGGTTAGAGACCGCCACACGATAAATCGGCGCGACGGTGATTTATCGGAGATAAATCGGAAATATATCGGTTTTTAAATTTAGTGTAATATATTTCTAAATATTATTTATAAATACTCAAAATATATATAAAAGAATATTTAAACATAATTCTATCCTATCATTCATATGTTATTATATAATTCTAATTACTCAATAAATAACAAAAAATTAAAAATAATAAGATCATAATATAATAAGGGGTAATGGCAAATAGGCCCATGACAATGGCACTTAATTAAAATAGGGACATCCAACTTTTTTGTCTTTCAAATAAATCCACCCCATTCAAACTTATTTGCAAATAAGGAAAATCCCTTTATATATACCAAAATTACCCCCAATTCATTTGAAACCCAATTTAACTCCAATTTCATGATTTACACCCCAATTTAGCCCAATTTCATCAATTAACCAATTTTAACCCAAATTTCAATTCTGACCCCAATTTTAACCCTAATTCGTATCAATTCCACCCATTATGCTCTAACTTCTTTAATATTACACATTGACCCCGGATTTTAACAAATATATCACATTAACCCCCAAAATTTTTTTTTTTCAGAAAATAATTTTTTTTCTGAAATATTTTTTTCCGGCCATATTCCGGCGTTGACTTTTTTTTTTTTTTTTTTTTTTGGTTGAATTTTGTTTTCCTGAAATTTTTTTCCGGTCGGTCAACGGCCGTTGACCGCCGGGTCTCCGGCGTTGACTTTTTTTTTTTTTTTTCTTAAAAAAATATTTTAATTAATTTTACTGTCTTGGCTGCTAAATTACTGTCTCCGGCAGCTATTTAACTGTCGGAAACAGAAATTTAACTGTCAATTGACTGTTTTTTTTTTTTTTTTTCCCTCAAAAAAATTTTAATTAAAAATAAGGGTATCCGGGCCAAATAACCGGCCCCCCCAATTTTTTAACTGGCCGAAAAACAAATTTAAATGGAAATGGACTCTTTTATTTCTAAAAAAAAAATTTTAAACAAAAATACGGGAGCCGGTGACCAAATACAGCCCCCCAACGACGGAGACAGTAATTTAACTGTTAATTGACTGTTTTTTTTTTTTTTTTTTTCTTCAAAATATTTTAATTAATATTACTGTATTCGTTGCTAAATTACTGTCTCCAGCAGTTATTTAACTGTCGGAGACAGTAATTTAACTGTTAATTGACTTTTTTATTCTTAAAAAAATATTTTTAATTAATATTACTGTATTCGTTGCTAAATTACTGTCTCCAGCAGTTATTTAACTGTCGGAGACAGTAATTTAACTGTTAATTGACTTTTTTATTCTTAAAAAAAATATTTTTAATTAATATTACTGTATTCGTTGCTAAATTACTGTCTCCAGCAGTTATTTAACTGTCGGAGACAGTAATTTAACTGTTAATTGACTTTTTTATTCTTAAAAAAAATATTTTTAATTAATATTACTGTATTCGTTGCTAAATTACTATCTCCAGCAGTTATTTAACTGTCGGAGACAGTAATTTAACTGTTAATTGACTTTTTTATTCTTAAAAAAATATTTTTAATTAATATTACTGTATTCGTTGCTAAATTACTGTCTCCAACAGTTATTTAACTGTCGGAGACAGTAACTTAACTGTTAATTGACTTTTTTTTTTTTTTTTTTTTAATTTTTTTACTTAAAAAAAATTTATTTAAATTAATATTACTGTCTTGGATGTTAAATTACTGTCTCCAACAGTAATTTAACTGTCTTAGACAATAATATTAATAATATTACTGTTCGGAAAAATAATATTCATAATATTCTGTCCCAAACAGTAATATTACTGTCTGAGACAGTAATTTAGTAGTCAAGACAGTAATATTAATTAAAATATTTTTTTTCTAAGAAAAAACAATTCAAAAAAAAAAACAAAAAAAAAAAAAAAAATAAGTCAACGCCGGAGACCGGTGGTCAACGGTGGTTGACCGGCCGGAAAAAAAAAGCAGGAAAAAAAAATTTCAAAAAAAAAAAAAAAAAAAAAAAAAAAAGTCAACGCCGGAGACCGGCGGTCTCCCGGCGGTCAACGCCGGAATCTGGCCGGAAAAAAAACAGTTTAGAAAAAAAATTATTTTCTGAAAAAAAAAAAGTTTTGGGGGTTAATGTGATATATTTGTTTAAATCCGGGGTCAATGTGTAATATTAAGGAAAGTTAGAGCATAATGGGTGGAATTGTTAAGAATTATATTATTGAGGGTATTTTAGACTAAAGACATGGGGATGGGCTTAATTGAGAGACTGTTTTTTTTGTGGACTAAAATGCATTTAAGTCCCATGTGATGGGCCTTTTTGCCATTTGCCCATATAATAAAAGATTCTTACGAAATACAAATACTACGCAAGTCTTTCGTATCAACAATTAATATAAACACAACAAAGCATAAATTGCGGGGTAGTACTTGGTTTGGTTTTGGAAGTTGAAAGAATTGGAGAAAAACAAAAAATCAAAACATATTTTCATGTTAATTTAAATTTAAAAAAAAAAAAAAAAAACCGATTTGTTGACCGGTATATCGGTTTGACCCGCCAAAAAACCGCCGCAAACCGCCTCGCCGTAAAAAACCGATATTCCAAACCGCCTCAACAAAATCATAAAGGTTTATAACCGATACCGATATGGCGGCCGATATATCGACCGCCACGACCGCTATTTAGAACACTGGCTGCGGGACGGCAGTACCATCATTTTTTCCAAGATAGTGAGCACCTCTCTCAACGCAATTAGAGGTTGTACTCCATAGACTTGTTATCAATCCAATTCTCAGCTGCATATCTCTCCGGGGCAATAACAAAGGCCTTACCCGTGCCTAGACACGAGTGGACCGACTGTGCCTAGACACGAGTGGACCGAGCATGCCATCAAACTATCGGCTGCCCCGATTGCAATCTAATTAAGCAAAAGAAAAAACTAATTTAGCTATTTGATAAATAAATAAATAAATAACTAGTATCTCACCCGTGCGATGCACGGGATCAAATTTTAGATCAAAAGAAATTATTCTAAAAAATCACCGAACTAAAAAAAGGTCGAGGATTTAAGTCGAATACGACCGAACAAAAAATAACAATTTCGTATTTTATATCATCACCAAAAAGTCTACATAAATATAAAATGGCAATCTTGTACAAACCATCCACGCCGAAATGCCACAACCAACTCCAAGTGGGGAATCGAATGAATGGACCACTCTTGTACATTAATCTGAATGTTGGTACAATATAACACGAAGCTGCGGTCACGAACAATATATGAAAATACATTTAAATAAAATAATATAGTAAAAACTTTAATTAATTGATATATAATATGATATAGTCCAAAACAAAAAAAAATATCCATTCCATCTGATTTAAATACAAAACTTAAACAAAAATAATAATAAAATAAAATATAAAATAAATACTTGTGATATAAAATATACAATACCTCATCTGACCCAAATCGTAAAACTATCTCGCCCAATGCACTCGAATCCTTAACATGAAATTTAGTTATCAAAGTGATATTTTATACATGCATTAAAATCCTTTACAACTCATCTAATACCTTGTGAGTAACCTACACATTTTGCATTGTTCATATTCTCTCAGTCGTACACATTACTGAATAATAAATCACCTAAAAATGTAAAATAAATACAATTTATATAAAATTACCTAGATTAAAAAAATTCATTGGAGCGGCACTAATGTACATTAGAGATGAAATTTTTTGTTATAAAATCACAAAATTTTGTGATATACCTTCATAATCACTTATAAACCCTCCTTGTAGACAAAATTGTTAATAACATTATTCGCCTGATTACAACTTGATAAATTTCTTTATGCTACCCCATACTCTATTCTCTGCATTACGATATATAATTGTCCATGCAACTTGTAATACTAATGTTGATACTAATACTAATACTATCACTAATACTAATACTAATACTAATACTAATATTATTACTAATACTAATCCTAATACTAATACTAATACTAATACTAATACTAATACTATACTAATACTAATACTAATACTAATACTAATTATACTAATATTAATACTAATATCAATACTAATACTAATACTAATACTAATACTAATACTAATACTAATACTAATACTAATACTAATATTAATACTAATACTAATACTAATACTAATACTAATACTAATACTAATACTAATACTAATACTAATACTAATACTAATACTAATACTAATACTAATACTAATACTAATACTAATACTAATACTAATACAAATGCTAATGCTAATACTAATGCTAATACTAATACTAATACTAATAGTATATTAATAACGATAATAGTGATACTGATATTGATACATATTATATTCACTAATATTAATACTAATACTAATACTACACTACAACAAAAGATATATATAACGACATTTTGTTTGGGACAATTTTTACCATGTATCCCAAAAAGTAAAATATTGGGACAATAATTAAATTATGTCCCGAAACTATAATTTTTTGAGGCACTTAAAATGTAAATTGTTTTATTATTCGTAATATAATGACAAATTAGGACACTAGTTACATTGTGCCCCAAAAATAAAA